ATATATTCATGTACCAGTTTGTTCCCTACATACTTAAAAAGCTTTCTAATAAGTGAATAAAGTACCAAAAAACCTTTTTTTTTTTTTTTTTTTTTTTTTTTTTTTTTTTAGAGAGCACAAGCAGAGGGAGAAGCAGGCAGAGGGAGAGAGAGAAGCAGGTCCCCACTGAGCAGGGAGCCTGATGCGGGACTCGACCCAGGGACTCCAGGATCATGACCTGAGCCGAAGGCAGTTGCTTAGCCAACTGAGCCACCTAGGCGCCCTGTATGTCCATCTTTTGATAGATATTGGGTTGTTTCCAGCTTTGGGTGATTATGAATTAAGCTGCTATAAACAATTGTGTATAGTTATATATAGGATTTTGTGTGAACATACATTTTCCTTGGGTATACACCTGGGTGTGGGATTGTTGGGTCACATGCTAAGTGTATAGTTAACTTTGAAAAATAGTTGGCCAGTTTCTTAAAGTGGTTGTGTCATTTTATGTATCTAACAACATTACACGAGAATTCTAATTCCCCCCGCACAGCTACACATCTCGGGGTCTTTTTTTTTTTTTTTTTTTTCTTTTTTTTTTTTTTTTTTAACACCTTTAGTGAGAATTTACATATCCTAAAAGCAGCCGTCAACCCTAACTGGAAGAATTTAATCAGCCCTAAAAGAAGTCCTGTGCCCATTAGCAGGCACTCTCTGCCAACACCTATTCCACCGGCTCCTGGCAACCACTCATCCATGTTCTGCATCTGCAGATTTGCCTCTTTGGACATTTTGTGTAAATTGAATCCTATAACATGTGGTCTTGAGTCTGGCTGCTCTCACTTAATGTTTGGAAGATTTCTCCATCTTGTAGTGTGTATCAAAACTTTATTCCTTTTTCTGGCTGAGTAACCTTCCATTGTACGGCTGCCTCACGTTTTGTCCGTTCATCAGTTGGGCATTTGGGTTTCCACTTTGGCTATTAGGAATGCCGTATACAAGTTTTCTTGTGTGTGAAACATAAGCTTTTGATTTTCTTGAGTATAGATACCTAGAACTGGAATTGCTGGATCATCTGGTGGCTTCATTTAACTTTCTGAGCACTGCCAAGCTGTTTGCCAAATCATTGTGGCATTTTACAATCCCACCAGCGATATAGGAGGGTTCCAGTTCTCCATATCCTGCCAACACTTGTTACTGGCTGTCTTTTTGATACTAGCTATCCTAGTGGGTATAAAGTGGTATCTCACTGTGGTTTTGAAATGTATTTCCCTGGTGACTTAAGCTGAGCTTTCTTTCCTGTGTATCTTGGCCGCTTGTGTGTCTTCTTATCTGAAGAAATGTCCGTTCACATCCTTTGCCCAGTTTTTAATTGGGTTGTCTCTCATTTTTGAGTTGTTAAGGGTTCTTTATGTATCCTGGATACCAGTCCTTTGTCAGACTTTCTCCTTTGATTTTGGAGTTTGATTTATCGGTTTTCTTCTGTCCCCGGTGCCTTCGCTGTCCCAGCTGTGTCACTGCCGCCCAGTGCAGACAGGTGGTGGTGGGGCTGGAGTGCTGTCAGAGTCAGCCGCTCGGACGCTTGTCCTCGAAGCTCTGCTCTTCTCCCTCCTTCTGCCGGCTACATTTGTCTTCTCTGTCTGCATGCCGGCTTTTTATGCTTCTTGGCACAGGAAAGACGGCCTTCACGTAGCTCCTTAGTTTCCCTGTCCTTCCATTTCACGGGGTTAGCAGAAACAAACTAGTAGCTTTCCTCAGTCCAAATTCCCGAGAGAAAAATAGATTTGTCCAGCAAGGCTCCTGTATCTACCCCAGGTCAGTCAGCTATAGCTAGGATTGGGTAGAGGTAGAGAGAAGATCATGCCGGCCTTCTGGGGCCAGAGGGGACAGTACTCAGAAGGATTAGTGGGCTTGGGCCAGGCAGATGCTCCAGAGCCAGTTCCCTGAGGTGAGTTTGTGCCAAAGCCCCTCGGCAAGGTTGGCATGCTGGGCTTCTAAATAGCACAACTTTCCCCCACCCAAGATGATAACCAGCTAGGAGACAGGAGAGACATAGCAGGAAACAAAATTTCATCTTTATAATGGGTAGAGCCTACTTTGGAAAAAGTGGCACATAAATATTGGCAAGTGGCTTCCTAATACTGAAGCCGAATCAGGCAGGTTTACCTACCACGTAAGTGTTGCTACACCACCGTTCTCCCCACAAGGGGCTTCCTTCTCTAAAACGTAGAGCTGGTCGGAGCAGAGCCGAGAGTGTGGGCTTCCATATAGGCAGGGAGCTCTCAAGAGCAAAGTGGCAGGAAGGGGCTCCTTTCTGCTTCCTCTCCCAGACTCCCCTAAGCAGATAGGTCATTTCGCCAGCCCTGGGGAAGGGGGCAGGGAGCGCTACCATCAGGGAAGACTGGAGTGTTAATTGGGCTCCCTCTCAAGGAAGGAAGCCTAACATGGACAGAAGTTACGTCCTCAGCACCTAGTATGTGGAGGGTGAAGTTGTCCAGAGCCACTCTCCAGGGATGAGGAGAGAGAGATTTCCCAGATGTTATTGGTGCGGACTGAGGTTTAGTCCTGGGAGAACATGCAGTGGGAATCAGGGAGTGTTGTTGGAAAAATCTGATGCCTGTCTTCCAACAGTTGGATGGGGAGTTTGGATTAGTTTTAAAGCAGGGTAGTCGCTTCAGGTTTCCATGTGGGGTTACCCCATTATTAAAGCTCTTACAGGGGCGCCTGGGTGGCTCAGTCAGTTAATCATCTGCCTTTGGCTCAGATGATGATCTCGGGGTCCTGGGATTGAGTCCTGCATCGGGCTCCCTGCTCAGCGGTGAGTCTGCTTCTCCTTCTGCCACTGCGCCCCTCCCCCCTCTACCACCCTTCCCCTCCCCCCCCCCAGCTCATGCTCATGCTCTCTCACGCGCTGTCAAAAATTTTAAAGAATCTTAAAAAAATAAAGCTCTTCTAGAGAGCAAGGAAAGGAGCTTGGAGAAGAGGTAATGCTGTACGTGCTCAGAAGGTGGATTCTTAGGCCATCTGTTACCTTTTTAACTATTTTAAAAATTCCGGTAACTATAGCCCAAACTGTTTCTGACACCGTGACGGCCATGTCACTTCAACCTGCAGCCATACATATGGGACAGACTCAGGAGACTCCAGAAGCAGCAGACCGCCACTGTGTGCTTATTGGAGGCACCTGGGGCCCTGCTGCGAACCAGCTCTGTTTTCTCAGGTGGTGTATGAGCGCTGCGAGAAGCTGCGGCCCACCCTGTTCCGGCTGGCGAGTGATACCACGGACGACGACGATGCGCTCGGTAAGGCCGTTCTTCTCTTGGCACAGCCGGGACATTGGAGGGCAGAACACACGTGCCCCTTCCTGCTGGGACACAGTGGTGCCAGAGACCAGACAGCATGGCTTTTGTGGCGATTGGGCTTTGGAAGGGCGTGGCCTTAGAACTGATTTCCGGGACGATCTAGGCTTGAGCAAGCGATCATCAGCTGGTCTGAAAGCCTAGAGAGGGGTGGAAATGTGCCGTGAAGGTTAGGCGCTAGGGAGATGCTGGAAGGAAGACTAACTTCCACAGAAGTCTGAGGAACTGCTGCATCTCGAAGGTTTCACCAGCCTAAGTGCCATCGGGGGCTGGGTCGCCAACGTGAGGCAGGCTGAGGAGGAAGGGCAGGAATAATGGTAGGGACAGCGGAGAATTTTAATATCTGTGCACAGAGATTAAAATATCTTACACTTTTTATGGACAATTTCAGGACATGTGCACGGAAATAGTGGGATAAATCCTATGTCCCGTTCACCTGTTGGTAACAGCTACCAGCTCATGGCCCATCTTTTTTCCTCTTGTTGCATGTGTGCTGCTCTCGCTCCCCCATCACTTATTCTCTTTGAAGCAAATTGCAAACATTCCAAGGTAATCAAATAGTCAGTCAGTGTTCAGATTTCCCTGGGCACTTCTCTCTCTAAACATCTCTTGCTAACCCTCCCACCTCAGCGCACCCCCCCTTTTTTTTAAGTTCTGAATCAGACTCAGAAAAGGCATACTTTGCAATTGGTATTTTGTAAGTCTTTTTTAATGGATAGCCCCTTGATTCTTTTTCTCCTTCTTATTAGATGAAAAACATGTCCTTTGACCTACAGAGTTTCTCTAGGCCTCAGTGTTCTGATGGCGTGCCCCATGATATTTAATGTTTTTCCATATCTGATACTTCTTATAAATTCCTGATATTTCTTATAAATTGGATCAGGGGCTTGATCAGATTCAGGATCAGTTGGAGCAGGGATGTGGGGAGCAAGAACACTTCATGGGTGGTGTTCAAGAAGCCTTTGGTTTCTGATTATCTCTGTGATTATGGTCTGAACCCATCATTTTCTCTGATTGCAATCAGCTCAAACATTAAATAAAAATTTAAATTTTTAAGCAACTCATCCATGCTAACTAAAACATTTTGCCAGGTGAATTCAACCCCATGTTGCAGCTTATGTGTTAAGAAAATTGGCAGGAGCCAATTCACAAATGCTTGTGAAGTTTTTGGAATCCAGTGCATATTTTATACTTATATACGACATTTCAATTTGGATGGCAAGATTTCATCAGGAATACTTGATCTATATTTAGATTTTATGAAATTTATAGGTGAAAACATATATTCATGTACCAGTTTGTTCCCTACATACTTAAAAAGCTTTCTAATAAGTGAATAAAGTACCAAAAAACCTTTTTTTTTTTTTTTTTTTTGATTTTATTTATTTGAGAGAGCACAAGCAGAGGGAGAAGCAGGCAGAGGGAGAGAGAGAAGCAGGTCCCCACTGAGCAGGGAGCCTGATGGGGGCCTTGATCCCAGGACTCTAGGATCATGACCTGAGTTGAAGGCAGCTGCTTAACCAACTGAGCCACCCAGGTGCCTCCCCCTGCCCTGAAAAACTCTTAATATTCACATACACATTGACAAAACTGTTTTTATTTTAAGTTAATTAATATTAAAGTTTTAGTTCCTTAGTTGAAGGGGCCATGTTTCAAGTGTTGGCCATTGTGTTGGAAGGTACTGGGAACGGTGGTGAAGAAATTTGGTTCCTCCTGCATCTTGAGAGCTAGAAGTGCTGGGGATTAGGGCCTGAATAACTAGGTCTGCTAGGGGCCTGATCACATGATCTGGGGGCAGGAGGCATGGGTATACTGAACCTGGTAGTGCTGCGTGACCCCTGCTTTCTGGAATGGCTTAAAAAACACTGAGATTGTTGGTAGCTGAACCGGGGGGTTCTCATTTTTCCCTCCTTCAGCGGAGATTCTCCAGGCAAATGACCTCCTCACCCAGGGAGTTCTGCTGTACAAACAGGTGATGGAGGGCCGAGTCATCTTTGGGAACACAGTGACCAGCTCAGTGGGAGACCTACCTGTCTCCAGAGGTATGTGCAAAGAAGCCTCTCCTTATGTTCTGCCTGGGCATCCTGCAAATCCCGGAGAAGAAATGGATCCTCAGAATATTCTGGGTTGTGGTATGGAAATGAGAGGCCTTGCCCTTTTTTCCCTTCCCTTTGGGGGATGGTTTTATGTAGCCAGCGTCTGCCACGTGTGCCATCACGAACTGACTGGCAGGCTGGACCCTAGCTCTGGCTATCCACGGGAGCAGATGGCTATATTGCGCCCAGGTTTTGATTCCTCTTCTCATGAATGCTTACTTTGAGGAGCTAGAAACCAAAAAAGTGATCTGTTTTGGTGGTGCCAAGCAGGCTAGCTGCGTCAGAATCATCTGGCACACTGGCTGAACTGCAGATTCTTAGGTCCTCAGCTCGGACCTTCTGAATCAAGACTGCTTAGAGCTTGGCCTGGGGGTTTGTGTTTTTATCAAGCGCTCCAGTGATTGTGACGAGTTGTTGTCAAAAGGCCTGTGAGCAGGAGACGTCCGCCCTGTTGCTGGCCAGGTTGAATGGACCCCTAGCAGAGGACAGTGATTGCTGGGGTAGGAAGGCAGTCCCCTGGTTGCCTCCTATTCCAGATACCAGCTCAGGCTATACATCAAGCCATTCAGCGGGGGTGCATTGAGGGGGTGAGGTGATGTCTTCTGATTGAGAGGAGGCCTGTGGGAAGCTAATGGGCATTAAGTGGAGACTTTGCTCACATCCTCACCTATGTTCCTGACTGTTCTCTAGTCTTTCAGAAACCAGCAGGTTGCATGAAGAGCTGTCCTCTGATTGACTTGGAGGTGGACAATGAATCTGAGCAGGCCAGGACTGTGGCACCGTCTTTGCTTCACCAGGACCTGGCAGCCTTAGGTGAGGGTGGGTGTTTAGGGGGAGCAGGCGCAGAATGGCCCTGACTCCCAGGAAGAGCAAGTAAGCTGGTTCCGCTTGGGGAGAATATGCCTGTTTTCAGAGGGAGCTGGGTATACAGTAGTCCCCCACCTCGTCCGCAATTTCAGTGACTCGCGATCCAGAAGCAGATGATCCTCCTTCTGACATATGGTCAGAAGGTCAGTAGTAGCCTAGGGCTACGTCCCATGCCTACGTCATTCACCTCACTTCATCTCATCACGTAGGCATTTTATCATCTCCCATCACAAGAAGACAAAGGGTGAGTACAGTATAATATATTTTGAGAGCGAGAGACCACATTCACATAATTCTTACTACAGTATATTGTTGTTATTATCCGTTACTGTGTCTAACTTACAAAGTAAATGTAATTGTAGTTATGTATGTGTGGGGGGGGAAAAAAAACATAGTATATGGAGGGATTGCTACATCCGCCCTTTCAGGCATCCACCAGGGATCTTAGAACATATCCCCTAATGGATAAGGGGGCACTACTATCCTGGAAAGTTTGGAGAGGTCCTCTTTGCATTTAGTCTCAGATTTGTCATGGATGAGTTGAATGATTTTGGGTAATTTGCTTTGCCTGGGCTTTCTAAATGTTCTAGAAAGGGTGAACATGATAACAATCTCCAGCTCCTGTCAGGTAGAGTTACTGGTGCACATCTTTCTGTTTCTTCCTTACAGGCCTCAGTGATGCTCCGGTTACCCACAAGGTAAGGAAGCTCTTTCTAGGGGTTGGAAGGGAGGTCCCTCAAACCTACGTTCACAAGGGCAGCACTGCCTGGGCGTGGGGGAAGGGGCTACAGCATAGCCTGGTGGCGACTGTGGACTTGGAGGTCCAAAGCCTCTTCCTTACTTATGTTGTCTGGCTTGAACCCCCAGAAAGACACATTTTTCCCTCTCCTTGTATCCCTACTCTCTTCAGTGGTATCCAGGCTCCCGCTTACTGAAGGTCATATCAGGAGTCCTGTGCTCTCTTGCCCTTTTTCTCCTCCTGCCCCAGGAAATGCAGTAAGCCTGTGTCCTGGTGTCACCATGGCTCCTGATCATTCATACCCTGGCCTTATTTTAGCCATTCCTGGTTTGACAGGTTGCTGGTCAGAATTGCTGTAAGGAAAAGAGGAATCCCCCCGCCAGCATGCAGCCAGGTGGTGGTGTTCAGAGCCCTTCTGCAGAAAGGAACTTGCTGGATCTCCTCTCCCCACAGCCGTGTCCAGGACCTCTGTGAGTCTTGTGGGCAAGGAAAGTAGAAGAGGGGCTCCTGTGCATGCTTCCTGCTCCTTGCGTGAGGGCCAGGCCGAGGAGCCGTGTTGGTGTGCGGGAACATGGGGCACACTTGGAGACAGCCAGAGACTTCTCTCCCTGGAGGGACTGCTTCCTTCCTACCAAGGGTTCCATATGTACCTCCCCTCTTCTCCTTTGACTCCCTATCCCAAGTCAGACGAAAAGACATGCTTTGGTTAGGACTTCTGCAAAGGGATTGGTTTAAGGAGTAGCAGCAGTAGATGATGATGATGATGTGGTGTTCATAGGCTTTTTTTTTTTTTTTTTTTAGGAGTAGCAGCAGTAGATGATGATGATGATGTGGTGTTCATAGGCTTTTTTTTTTTTTTTTCCTGATTACAAGGAAGTTAAGCAAAATTTGATCACTAGAGAAATAGATAATATAGAAAGGCCCAATTACACTCCCTAAAGATAATGCTCAGTGTTCCTTCCTTGCTTTTCTCTCTGTATGTAGTAATGCATTATGTTGTTTATTTTTTACACACATGGGCCATAATTACAGACTGTTGTCCAGTGTGGTTTTTTTCATATAGCATCTTTGATACATGTCCGTATGAGTTTAGATAAATTTGTCTCATTCTGATGGTTGTAATAATCCATATGCATATAATACTCATATATTTAGTCATTGTCCTCTTGTGGGTATTTACGTAGCTTTCAGTTCAGAGGCATTCGGAGCGTTTTTATAGTATGGATTCCTAAAAGTGGAAGTGCTCTAAGGCGTGAGTCTAAACGTGTATGTAGATCCTGCTGCTTTGCCTCTGGGAAGGTTGGCGCGGTCTGCCTTCCCGTAGACACCCTGAGTGTGTCCGTGTCTGTGGTAGAGACACAAGGTCCTGGTGGACATGAAGATGTGCTGGGACGTCATTCTTGTTTGCACCCAGAGGGAGTCTTTCCATTTACTCCTAACCACTCAGCACAGCGAGGGGCTGGTAATCTTCCTGATTTGGGTGGGTTACTCTGCACTATAGTTTTCAGTTGGTACTGAAAATGTTTTTGGAGTGCCTGGGTGGCTCAGCCGGTTAAGCATCTGACTCTTGATCTCAGCTCAGGTCTTCATCTCAGGGTTGTGAGTTCAAGCCCCGAGTTGGGCTCTTCGCGGTGTGGAGCCTACTTAAAAAATGTTTTCAGTTTACATTCCAAATGGACAAAATCATGAATGAAGTGGTCCGTGTAATTGGTGTTATCTTCCTAACTCCTGTTACTCTGGTGACCACGTACGCGGAAACGTAACCTGACTGAGCAACTCGTTGTCAGAGGCTGTCTGACAACTACAACCCTGATTACCTTAATAATAGCTTCTGGTTTATTGGGTCCTTATGTGTGCACAGTCCTCAATGCTTTTCGTACATTTTCTCATTTAATTCTAATGACAACCCCATGAGGTAGATGTTAGATGATTTCCATCTTATGGTTGAGAAAACTGAGGCGCAGGTGAAATTACACATTTAAAGTCCTATTCCTCTAAAATACATGCACACATATGTATTTTTCTCCCCCTTCTGTATCTCATTCTTCAGAAAGCCTAATCAGATTTCCTGGAATTGTCTATAATTTTTGCTAGTCTTGATATTTTTTTCATTTCTTTGCAGAAATTATGTTCCACAGAAGAGCATCCCTAAGGAAGTGCCCCCCGGCACTAAGTCCTCTCCAGGTTGGTCCTGGGAAGCTGGGCCATTGGCTTCTTCCCCATCCTCCCAGAATACACCTCTGGCTCAAGTATTTGTCCCTTTGGAGTCTGTTAAGCCCAGTAAGTACAGTTTTACCTCCCCCGCCACCCTCCTGCTCTTAAATACCCAACTTTTACCTGCTCTGGATTGGTAGGGGGTGGCTCTTAAATTGGGGAAGCTGAGTGGTAGAGATTTTGCCTGGAGGCAGAGGGTAAGGAGGTGGCTTCACAGTCTTTTACCTACTATTTTTCATAAAGTTTCTGTCTTGGGGTTGACACTAAAAGTGAAGGATATTGGCAGGCAGACTTTAATTAGGGGGCTTGAGTCTGTTTTTGGACATGATGCTCACTCATTTGGAATTCAAGAAGGAAATGTCCAGTGTGGCAGAAATAACTCTGAAGAGGTGAGATTAGATGGAAAGGAAGAACTTGGCTGGTGGCCCTCTTTGGTTGGGGGTCCTCATTAGAGGAGGAGAGCAGAGGTTCCCTCCTTACGAAGGAAGGAAGGAAGGTGACCGTGTACGGTTGGCACACTGGCATGTGAGCAGGAGACACCAGGGTGCTTAGATACAGTATATTTAGAATGTTTTACAGCCTGCTTTGTTATTAAAAGCTATAGCATTTTTTCATGCTGTGAATTGTTCTTCAAAACTTTTACTTTTTAAATGTCTCCATACATCATATAATCATGGTACGTCATTCATTTATTCAATTCCTTTCTTTATTTTTTTTACTTTTTTAATTAAAAATTTGGGGGGGAGAGGGGGCGTGCACTTGTGGGGAGGGGCACAGGGAGAAGGAAAGACTCTTAAGCAAGTTCCACACTCAGCATAGAGGCCAATGCCAGGCTCGATCTCACGATCCCAAGATTATAACCTGAGTTGAAATCAAGTCACTTAACTGACTGAGCCACCCAGGTGCCTTCATTTAATTCCTTTCTGAAGGATAATTTGTTTCTAGTTGTTTGCTGTTAAAAACTGCTACGGTGAACATCTCTGGACACTTGTGTTTTTAAACTTTCCTGATTATTTCATCAGGATATATTCTTAGAAATGCTGGGTGTAGACATTTAAAATTTTGATCTGCATGACCAAGATCCCTTCAGAAAGGTTGCCTCTTTCCCCATAAACTCACCACCGTCCCTCAAGAGGACTTTTAATCTAATCATACTTTTAAATCTTTGACAGTCTCATTGTTAAGTGATGTTTGGCATGAGCTAAGGATCATCATTAAACATTTTTTCCCAGATTAGATAGTTGTCTGCCGCTTATCGAATCAGCCACTGATTTTGACATAGATGTTCTAACACGTTGAATTCTCCTACTAGATCTATTCTGCATGCTTTGTTTCCTACCTCTCCGCTTGGTTATGTACTTACGAGTATTTCTTGACACAAATAGCCTATCCTCCCTCTTCTTAAGTGGATAGTCTCATACCCCCCCACCCCCCCTTTGCCTTAGAATCATTTCTTAGCTGAATTAAAATAATCCTTTTAGGATTTCCATTGGAAGGTCAGTAAACCTATTGACTTGAAGAGATCTGTGTCTTTATTGTTCTGTAAAATTAAATGCAAGAGGTGTGTGTGCATGTAGTCATATAAAAGAGACCAGAAGGAAATAGGCCCAAGTGTTAGCAATGCTTATTTCTGGGTAGGATTAATGGTGTCTTTTATTTCATTATGATATCCTGTATTTTCTCTAGTGTTCATAGTATTTTAGTCCTAATCCTGTCTCCCTCAAAAAAAGTACCTTTTAAAAAAAAAAAACAAAAAAAAACCCTGCTAATATGCTGGGGCGCCTGGGTGGCTTAGTTGGTTGAGCATCTGCCTTCATCTCAGGTCATGATCCCAGAGTCCTGGGATTGAGCCCTGCATCGGCCTCCCTGCTCAGTGGAGAGTCTGCTTCTCCCTCTCCCTCTGCTGCACTCCGCCACTCCCCGCCCCCCCGCTCATGCTCTCTCTCTCTTGCTCGCTTGCTCTATCTCAAATAAAGTCTTTTAAAAAAACAAACTGGTAATGTGCTTCGGATGGTTGGATGGTGGGGAGCAGTCAGCTTGAGGGGCCCTCGGAGTCCAGCTAGGAGTAGTGAGGGCTGGATTACGGTGGCACCGGAAGGTTGGGTCTGAGGAGGTCAGTCCAGGAGCCGTGCTGATGGTAGAGGCAGCAGCGGCGGATGATAACACGCACATCTCTTTCAGGCATGGCTGTTGGCGGCCTTGTGGTCATGTTAACCCTTTTGGTTGGGTCCTTCTCTACCAGGCAGCCTGCCGCCTCTTATTGTGTATGACCGGAATGGATTCCAAATTCTGCTCCACTTTTCTCAGACGGGGGCCCCTGGCCATCCGGAGGTGCAGGTGTTGCTGTTGACCATGATGAGCACTGCCACCCAGCCTGTCTGGGACATCATGTTTCAAGTGGCTGTGCCCAAGGTGAGTCGTCTGCTGGCCCGCTCCTTTGAATTTTTCAGTAAAGCTAGCATTTTTGAGCGCCAGGCCCTTTACTAGGACATGATCTTTTAGTTAGGTACAAGAGACACATTCTTCAAAGGAATTTAAGATCAAATGGGAGTTTTATTGGCTTATTTAATGGGGGTTTCTGAATATCTGACTTCAGATGTGGCTGGATCTAGATAAGTTCTTAAAATGATTCCTTAAGAATCTCTTTCCACCTCTTGACTGCTTTCTTCTTTGGAGCCTATTCTCCAACAGACTCCACACAGCATGTAAATGGCTACCAGCAGGTCCAGAGTTACATAGCCCATACCCTCCTGAACCCTTTTTATCTCGGAAGGAAACTTCCACCTGGCATGAGGCATATATATTGATTACCCTCGAAAGGGCTAGGATTGGCCCTGTTGGCATTACTTGGATATCTGGGACCAGTACCTTGTGTTCAGGGATAATGAGGTACTCTGGCCAATGTAGGTATTATGTCCATTCCTCTTCAAGGGAAGTAGGGACCCCACTGATTAACAGCCATACCAGCATCACAGTGAACAGGGAAAGGATGTCCTGGAAGGAAAGATTCAAGGTGGGCAAAAGTAAACATACACATTCTCTCATCCTCATGGTAGTCTTGTGGGACATGTGTTATCGTTAATCTCTATTTTATATACTTCTAGTCCAGGGCTCAGAAAGGTTAAGTATTTTGCCCAAGATCCCAGAGCTAGTAAGAAGCAGAATTAGAACTCAGCCCAAGGTATGCCCTAGCTCTTCATGCTGCCTCTCAGAAGCCAACCATTGACCACACAACTTCTGTTTATGGAAGGGAAGGACTTTTGGACCCTTTAATTATTTGGTGGGTGGAGGTCAAGTTTTCCTGCTTACCTGAACTCCCTCTTTGAAGCTGTACTTTATTAGGAACAAGTTAGATACTGGATTTATCTCCGCCCCCGCCCCCCCCCCATAGTCCATGAGAGTGAAGCTGCAGCCGGCATCCAGCTCCAAGCTCCCTGCGTTCAGTCCGTTGACACCTCCAGCTGTGATCTCTCAGATGCTGTTGCTTGACAATCCACACAAAGTATGTTCTGGTAACTTTAATAACAGGGGGATGGGGGGCCCCTGGACTGTAGGGAGTTTGAAAGAGCTTTATTTGGGTCTTGCTCTACAGTCTCTGGTTGGGAGTGGTGGTGAGATTTTCCTTGCTTAGTCTTTTCTTCAGGGCTCATTGGAAGAAGATCTCTGACTGGGTTGCCATAGCTGGGAACTGAGAATGTGACACGAACTCCCCCTCGTACCATGAGTCTTCTGAAAGGGTGTGCCTGTCCTCCTTAGCCACTCTGAGTTGTGGTCCACCTCAGGACTGCAAAGCTGTGGGAGTTCTCCCAGGACATATGGCTTCAGTTTGTCATCCCAGAGGGTCCTGGCCAGGTGTTCCTGTCATAGTTGTTTCAAGGCCTTACTGGCATGGAATTAACATGATACGCTGTTCCTTGGTGACTGCTAGGTGGGTAAAAGCTCGTACACTGGGCTGGTCTCTGTGTCTCCCCACTAATTTAATGTCTTCTGTCTTTGCCTAGGAGCCCATCCGGTTACGGTATAAGCTGACATTCAACCAGGGTGGACAGCCTTTCAGCGAAGTAGGAGAAGTGAAAGACTTTCCAGATCTGGCGATCTTGGGTGCAGCCTAACTTTTCACAAGACAGACCCTGCCATTCGAGCTTAGGCCAGTGTGAATTTTGCTGTCTAGATAGGACTAATCATGGTGATTTAGTGCGGGGTGCCAAGAGTTCTATCCTGATGTCAGGCTCTGGATCCCAACCTCTGACTCATTCTGCAGATACTATTTGTGTGTGTGTGTGTGTGTGTGTGTGTTGTGGGGGGTTGTGGGGGAGGGTAGAGCAGGGCTTGGGATGTGGACAGTGTGGGAAATGCTAAAGCATTTCTGACAACCATCTGCTACAATCATCTGTTTCTGCATGTTGGTGGACACGGATGTCCCCGCCTCAGGTTGGAGGTTTTATAAGCCAAAGTTGTGTTGTTATGTTTTTTCCATGTATTGTTATCTTTTCATTCATCCACTCTGTGCCTTGTCAGCCTTTGAAAGTCTTGGCTGCTCCCAGGCTGCTGTTCTCAGGGACCTTAAAAGGGACCTGGTTGGTCTTGGGGCAGAGAGTATCTTCTGGGGCACTCTCTTCCAAGAAAGACCTTGTCTCCATTTCCATTAGAGAATGCTGCTTGCATGTGTTTGAGAAGATCTTCTAAATGGAATGCTTGTTGCACTGTTTGCCAGGCGAGGGGCTGCCACTAGACCAGAGGACCACACTGGGTGGGCCAATCATGTCCTTCACCACCGTGCCTTAGAATCACCCAGAGAGGACCTTCCAGGGCAGAGGGGAAAGCAGATCCCAGGCCTCATGCAGGCCTCAGGTTCTGTGGGTGGGGCAGCCTGTCTGGGCCCTTCCTCAGGACCCTCCTCTCTATTCTCATCCTCCTCCTCCACGAGCGTCTACTCTCCGAGCTCTTCAGTGGTGACGCCATGCCAGTCATTGTCAGTCATAACTAACAGGCTCACCCTTGCCTGTCAACTTCACTGTCCAACATGAAGAACTGTGACACAAATAGGTATGAAAAGAGCTTAGCAGTGATTTCAGTGGTGACTGAATATAGAAAGTCCTTGAATAAATACCCGTGTAGCAAATATGCTTTGTGGAGTCTTGAGTAAGTAGGAGATGCAGAGCCTGTTGCATTTAGAGGCGCTAAGCCTCCAGGGCCCTGTTGCCTGTTGAGGAAATAGGAAGACTTCTTGCTGTGGAACCTGAAGAGCGGCTTCAGTGAAGGGATAGGCCCTGCGGGTCCGAACAAAGCTGGAAGAGAGAGGTGGATTTTTGTTACATATATGGTGTGAAGGGAAAATGCCGGTTCATCACCTGTTCTTAGCACCTGCCGTGTGCTAGGTGTCTTCTGCTGTCCTGCTTTGCTGGTCAGTGGGGCACATGAACTGAGCCTTGCTGATAGGGCCTGATAAAGGACTTTGAAATCCGAGCCGCTCACCTGTTGGGGCAAGACTACCTCAGGAACCGCAAGACTCTGTTTGGGGCTCTTTATCACAAAATCTGGTACTTTCCAGGTTAATCTTTGAACTTCTGCGTATAGTTTGAACCCCACCAACACTAATTGGTGGGGATGGGAGCTGTAAAAGATGATCTAGCTATGCTAATTTTTAAGCAAATGTGAAAACTCGTAAAACCGATAAGGGATGGGTGACTTCTTCATTTGGCGTAATTCCCATATGATTCATTTTAATCTAAAATTTCTTGCATGTTCAAATATTCTATATAGCTTTTATGGGCTCTAGCTAATCTCATAAAGTCTTTAAGAGGAACCTGTCGTAATGATGATGCCTGCCTATGCAGAACTTCTGTCAGGGTGGGTGAATGAGACGAGATTTTTACCCCCTGGTTCAGTGGTGAACTTGTGTGTGTCTCAACCTTCTGTCTTCTGGGAGCCAGACTCCCAGCGGTGCTTTGGTGGAGTTGCACCAGGGTAGAGTGTCTGTGGGGGGGGAGGCGTTCCTGAAAGTGGCCCTGGTGTGTGTCATCAGCGCCTTCTGATGATCCGGCTCCGTGGCTACTGAAGGCCTGACCCATATCCTTCCGTTCCCTCCACAGCAGTTGTGGAGCAGCTCCCGGGAGCCCTGCACAGTTGCAGGCACTGCAGATACCACAGTGGAAAGTTCCTGCCCTCGTGGCTCTTCTCTTCTAGTGGTGTACTGGGTGGGGACCTGGCACTGATGGTCGGGATTCGTCCCCTATCCTGAATTCCTCTTCCAAGCCCCTGCTCATCCCTGTCTCTTGACTTACTTCTGTGACTCTGTGTTTCTCTTGCTCTCTTAAATGTGGCGTTGCCCAGGGTTTAGTCCTTAGGACTCTTCTAAGCACATCTGGGCAGCTAACCACTAGGTGGGTCCTAGACCTCTAGCTCAAGCTTCTACCTCCCTGCTGACATCCATATTCATCAGTGGCTATTTGTAGGTTTCACTATTGTCTTGGGCTCCAAAAGCTTAGAATGGAACCCAGCCGCCGCCTCCTCCCCTCTTCCCCTTATATTTTCTTTTATTTGAAAACACCTATATGAACTTTCATGGATCCTTGATTCCTGTTCCTTCTAGAGCCACTCAGTTGTTTTTGTCTCATCTAGTCTATTTCTGAATATGACATCTTGCCCTCTCCTTGGTCTCCTGACCAAGTTCACATGGTCACTGCCCTGGTTTGGCTTTTCGGGGGGGAGACGGGGTGGTGCAGTTATCTGCCTCTCAGTTCCCTGAACTATTATACTTGCCACCACCAGAATTATCTAACAGATCTGGCCACTTGACCTCTTGCTGAGAAATCCTGAATGGCTTCCTTATGTCCTAAAGTTGATGCAATCAAGTTGAATGCTTAAGTATTCATTGCCCTTTTCTAACTTCCTATGCTTCCTACCGTTCTGCCACCTGCCAGGAACGAGCACTTTGCCACAGCCACAAGAAAGTCCTTTCTTTCATGTTTTGATAATGCCATGTGTTTTCATGACATTAGGAGGTAACTCCTCTCCCCTTATCTCTTCAATGAATTTAAGACTAGGCTAGAACCCTGCTTTATCTGTGAGCCACTGTGAGCATAAATGGGCTATGGAGATGGGAAATGTTGAAAACAGAGTAAATGACTTAATGACCAAAAGAACACGGACCAAATAAAGCAAAAGAACACGAACATTACATATTAAAAATGGTGTAGGGGCACCTGGGTGGCTCAGCATCATCTTGTTCTCAGCTCAGGTCTTTATCTCAGGGTTGTGAGTTCAAAACGACTGTAAATTGAGAGACCAAGCATTCAGGGTAGAAAGCAAAGGTGATATTCTAAAATACAAGTAGTGCTTGATTACTACAGTGTTTACAAATCAAATTCTTCATATCCAATGTAGAAGATGCTGTCCCAGCCCCAAAATATAAAATTCTATCAACTAGGTGTTTTGTTTTGTTTTTTCTTTTGAAGAAAACAGTAGGAGAGTGTCCTGGAATGGTAGCCCTGGTTTGGGGGGAGGAGTTTTTCATTTTTGTTTTTATTTTTAAGTAAAGATATGGCCTGGCATTTACCATCTGGGAAGAGGTGAAGCCAGGTAGGACAGAGGAAATGTCCTCAGGTGAGATGAGCCAAGCCTTTCATTATATAGTTGAGGCCCTTAAGGTCCAGAGTTCTCATGACATTTAATGTCAGCTGGAATGAAAAAATCCAGGCCTTTTTTCCCCTTGCCCAGCGCATTCCCAATTACACCACGTTCATTCTGAAAAAGCTTGCATCTTAAACAGTAAACATTCTCTTCCTTCTGACTTTTATTCTTGAATACCTCATCCCACTACTAGAGGTAACACTTTGATTTTAAAAGTTAAAATTGTAAAAACATACTGCACTGTTACAGGCCCCAGATACATAGGATTTTAACATTTGCAGTCTTCTGAATCCCCAGTTTGAAATAATTAAGTCAGCCCTTAGTTGTAATTCAGCTCTTTAGCTTCACTACTGCCTCTAAGAAGCCATGTGACCTTGGGTAAGTAATTTATCTTCTTTAGATTCCTCCTCTGTGAAGTGGATAACATAATTTTTTTGAGAATTAAAAGTTAATATATGTAAAGTGACTACGATACTGCATGGCACTTAATTAGCTAAGACTTACTTCATTTACTATTTGATGTTAGCTGGTCCACCTGGTTTCCTTCCAGCACATGAACGGAGGTGACTTGCCCATAACTATAAAGTTTATCTCCTAAAATAAAAAAACTATTTAAAGTTTTGGTGAGTCTCTAATATTGAGACACAGTAAACGTAAAGATAGAAAGGTAACAAAAAGTATTAATACTAATTAGAAACTATACTCCTAAATCTAGTCACCAAAACAATTCTAGCCATTTTGAAACACATCCCTAAGCCTAGTCAAAAGATGACGTCTGTAACAGAACACTTAGAAACTAAGAATGAATATGTTGCCTATAAGCCATTCAGTTAATTTTGTAACAAAGCTGTGCATTCTAAAATTTATAACCCTGACATCAAAATCTGAAGCAGATAACTTGGTCTGCTCTTGTTTCTGAGTGCACATGTAAAATATTAGCTTTAAAGCTAGTGGCACATTGAAAGAATACACTGTACAAAGCATTTTCTGGAAATGCAGTTAACCACATCAATAGCTCAACCGGACTATTTGGTCATCTCAGTAGATGTAGAAAAAGACATTCTAGATTATTCATTGTTTATTTCTAATAAAAATAAATGACCAGGGGTGCCTGGGTGGCTTAGTAAAGTGTGTGCCATTGGCTCAGGTCATGATCCCAGGGTCCTGGGGTTGAGTTCCGTGTCAGTCTCTGTGCTCAGCGGGGAGTCTGTTTCTCCTTCTCCCTCTGCCTCAACTCATGCTGTCTCTCTCTAATATTAAAAAAAAAAAAAAAAAGACCAGCAGCATGTTTAATAAGGAAATATTAGAGTAGCCTAAACACAAAGGTTTATTTTCTTGTTAAAAAGGCCAGATGTAGTCCAGAACCATTGCTGATAAAAGCATCACAAAGTCATCGGGGATCCAGGCTTCAGCCATCCCTAAATCACCACCCAAGGATAATCTCCTCAGCATGTTACATGGTGATGGCTTGAGATGCTGACATTCTAAGCTACAGGAAGGAATAAAGGAAAACTGACATTCTTAAGGTTTCCCGTAAGTTTCATGTGATACTTGTATTCACATCTTATTGGCTGTTTAGTGACATTGCCCCACTTTGGGCAAGGAAGGCTGAGAAATTGTCATATTTGCATACAGAGCCATGCTGCATGAAATTGGGTTTTGGCCAAGGAAGAACGGAAGACTGGATTTGTAGTAGATTAGCTATCTACCATAAGATACTATGGCAGTCTATTGGGGAAAACTGCCCTTGAACTATTGTTAAATGGAAAAAAAAAACAAAAAAACATGCTTTTATATTTGTCATGACCCTGGTTTTAAAACCAAGCAATCTAGGTATATGTGTGCATATATAATAACTGGTAATTTTGGGTTCTAGAATTGCAAATGAATTTTTAAAATACTTATTTTAGAAAGAGCACATGGTGGGTGAGGGGTAGAGGGGGAGAGGCTTAAGCAGACTCCACGCTGAGTGTTGAGCCTAATGTAGGGCTCAGTCTCACAACCTGAGATTGTGACCTGAGCCAAACCAAGAGTTGGACACTGACTGCGCTGCCCAGGCGCCCTGCGAATGGGTTTTCTTTAAATTTTATCTGCATTTTCTAAAGTTTCTAGGCTGAAAAAACATTTTTATGCTTAAATGTTTTTTCCAAATTAAAAGGTGGAAAGTCTTCCACGTGATTAATCTTCTAGCAGACAGTGTTCTCATCTGTCCTTGGAGATATTCTGGGCATATTCAAATGAACTGGAGTTTTTTGTTTGTTTGTTTTTAATGTAATGATGTAACTTGGAGATAATGCCATGCCACTGCTTAATAGGAAAAAGAATAGCCCCTGCTCTCCCCTCTCCTGACAGCAGTTGGGATCAATCAGTTTTATGTTAAAGGTCCTGTGTATTAAAACTGGCACATGAATTTCCTGGTAGTTTCTGTGTGTTTCTAGTCTCTCCCTCCCACTGGTTCCATTTCCATGGGCCCAGACATGCTTGCCTCTTCTCTAGCAACCCACTCCCTCCTGCCTTACTTCTGTCAGCCCAGCATTGTAGAGGGAAACAGGTATGGGCTTTGGAGTCAGGTTCGGTTTCTAGTTTTATTTTGTTTTGTTTTTGCCACCTGTAGTATCTTGGGCAGGACACTCAACACGTCTGGGCCTCAGTTTTTATATTCTTGAATTGTAAAAATGTTAAAAATCTACTTCATAGATTCAGATGCAGGTTTAATGAGGTCAACAAAATACCAGACACAATAGGGACTCTCTAAATGTAGGTGCTATTTCTCCTCAGATCACCTCATCCGAGATTTATTTATACTGTAACTGTGGTGACTTCCATTTTGTCATGTGGTTCATTTCATAACCTTTCCTGTTCTCATGGAAACCAGTAAAATTTTGCTAAGGGTACTAACCTAATGTTTGCCAAGGCTACAAAAAAAGTTGATGCTTTTGATAGAATCTGACCATCCCCTCCATACGGATCTGTCAAGATTAGTATCAGCTGCAGGAAATGGGTAAGCCCAAAGAAACATTGGTTAAACAAAAGATATTTATGTCTTTGTATTGGCCTCTTGGGATGACTGCAACAATGTACCGTAAGTTGGGTGACCTAAAACAACAGAAACAACAGTTGTGGAGAAGTCTGAAATTAGGCCACGTTCACTCTGAAACCTGTCAGATAATTTTGGTGATTTGCAATGATCTTTGGCATTCTTTGGCTTGCAGCTGCGGAACTCCTCTCTCTACCTTTGTGGTCATGTGGTCTCCCTGTGTGTCTTCACATGACTAATTTACATTGATCATATTGGATTAAGGGCCAATCCTACTTCAGTATAACATCTTAACTAGTTACATCTGCAGTGATGCTATTGATAAGGTCACATTCTGAGGGACTAGGGATTAGGATTTCATGCCTAACTCGTGGAAACACAAGTCAACCATAATTCTCTCAAATTCAGTAACCTTGGAGGTAGTGAGATTAGGGTTTGTATGCAGTCCATATGATGTCATGCACTTAGACGTTCAGTCTTGTTGCTCTGCCATGAGTGAATTCCATTACTAAGAACACTTTATGGTTCAGGGTAGGAGACCAACAAAAGACAAATTACCAAACTCAGGAGACACATCACTACTGATTCTACAGAAATTGGAAAGGATTATAAAGGAATATTATGAACAATTTTATGCCAACTTAGGTGAAATGGACAAGTTTCTAGTAAGGCCCGAATTACCAACTGATTTAAGAAGAACTAGAACAGGGCGCCTGGGTGGCTCAGATGGTTGAGTGTCTGCCTTCGGCTCAGGTCATGATCCCAGGGTCCTGGGATCGAGTCCCGCATCGGGCTCCCTGCTAGGCAGGGAGCCTGCTTCTCTCCCTCTGCCTCTCTCTCTGACTTTCATGAATAAATAAATAAAAAAAAAAAAAAAAAAAAAAAAAAAGAAGAACTAGAACATTTGAATAGGTCTATAACGAGTTGAATTAATAGTCTTCTCACGAAGAAACGTCCAGGGCCAGATGGCTTCACATTAAATTCTGCCAAATATTTAAAGAAGAGGCTTTCCCAATTCTCAAACTCCGAAGCTAGAGAAGGAAGGATCACTTACTAAATGATTCTAAAACCAGTATTACACTTAAACCAAAATTAGAGAAAGATCACAAAAACAATATTACGAGTTTTCCCCCACGAACATTGACACGAAAGTCCTCAACAAAATGGTGTCAAAGCAAATCTGGTAACATTCTACATCCTGACCAAGTAGAATTTATCCTAGGAATGCAAGATCAGTTTACCATCCAAATGTTAATTACTATAGAACATCACATGAGTAGAATAAAAGGTAAAAACAACACAATTATCCCAATAGGTACCAAAAAAGTATATGTATAAAATCAGCATTTTAACAAACTAGGAATAGAAGGGAACTTGGTCATCTTGAAAAAGGGATTGGACTGAAAAAGATGCTGAAGATTTGGAGCAAGGCAAAGATGTCTGCTCTTGCCATTTCTATTCAATATTGTACTGAAGATTCTAAGCAGTGCAGTTAGTAGAGGGAAGAAAAAGGTAAATCTGTATTCACAGATATTATGAACCTGTACATAGACAAATTCCAGGGAATACGTACATGCACACATAAATAGAACCGATAAATGTTAAAAGGTACAAGATAAATATACAAAAATCAGTTGTATTCCTATAACAAGAACATGTGAAATGAAATTAATTACATTCACAATAGCATTAAAATGAATGCAATACTTTGGAATAAATTTAACAAAAGTGCAAGATATTTACAATGTACAACAAAAGGTATTGCTGAGAGAAATTAAAGATGATCTAAATTAGAGGTTCTCAACCAGGGGTGATTGTTCCCACCGAGAGATACTTGGCAATGTGTGGAGACATTTTTAGTTGTCACAACCTGGGGGAAGGGATGCTTTTGGGATCTAGTAGTAGAGGCCAGAGATGCAGCCAAACATTGTACAATGCATAGGACAGCCTGAACAATAAATTATCTGGCCACACCAGGGTTGAATAACACCAAGGTTGAAACATCCTGATCTAAATAAAAGGAGAGGCATTTCACATTCATGGATTGGAAGACTGTATTGTCAAGATGCCAATTCTCAAAATGATCTGTAAGTTCAATAAAAACCCTATGCCAGTAGCATTTTTGTGTAGAAATTGATAAGCAGGTCATAGATGGATATGGATATGCAAAGGGTCTGGAGTAGCAAAACAATATTTTTATTTAAGATTTTATTTGAGGGGCGCCTGGGTGGCTCAGTTGGTTAAGCGACTGCCTTCGGCTCAGGTCATGGTCCCAGGGTCCTGGGATCGAACCCCGCATCGGGCTCCCTGCTGGGCAGGGCGCCTGCTTCTCCCTCTCCCTCTGCCACTCCCACCACCTGTGCTCTCCTGCTCCCTGTCAAATAAAATCTTTAAGAAAAAAAGATTTGAGAGAGCGCATGTGAGAGAGGAGGGAGAGGGAGAGAGGGGCAGAGGGAGAGGGAGAAGCATATTCCCCAAGGAGCAGGGAGCCTGACACAAGGCTGGATCCCAGGACCCTGGGATCATGACCTGAGCTGAAGGCAGATGCTTAACCGACTGAGCCACCCAGGTTCCCTGCAAAACAATTTTTTAAAATAACAAAGTGGGAGGACTAACACTATCAGACTTCCAAACTTACTATAAACTATAGAAATCAAGACAATTTGGTATTGGTACAATAGGAATATAGATAATGAAACAGAATTAAGAGTCCAGAAATCCTTACATCTGTGTCACTTGGTTTTTGACAAAAGATCTTAAGGCAATCAGTGGAGAAAGGAAAGTCTAAATCATCCTGGGATAACTGTATATGTGTATGTAAAAAATTAGACGGGCACCTGGCTGGCTCAGAGCATGTGATGCTTGATCATGGGGTTGTAACTTTGAGCCCCACGTTGGGTATAGATGTTACTTAAAAATTAAATCTTTAAAGAATAAACTTAGGCCTTTACCTCACACCATACACAAAAAATGAACTCAAACTGGATCATGGACGTAAATGTAAGAGCTAATACTTTAAAACTTCTAGAAGAAAATTTAGAAATTCTTCATGATTTTGGGTTAGGCAAAGATTTCTTAGATACAAGACCAAAAGTAGGATCCATAAAAAAGAAGTGATAATGGAATTTATCAAAATTAAAAACTTGCACCTCAAAAGACATTAAGAAAATGAAAAGACAAGATACAGATTGGGAGAAAATAGTTGTGACCCATATTAATAAGGGAAATCAGAATATGTAAAGAATTTAACAGCTCATTAATATGAAGAATTTAACAGCTCAATAATATGAAGACAACCCCATTTGAAAATGGGTGAAAGATTTGAACACGTTTCATCAAAGAAGATGTAAGAATAGCTAATAACATGAAAAGATGTTCAAAATCATTGGTTAGGGAAAGGCAGACTAAAGCAACAGTGACTATTATATACCAGATGTTGGTGAGGGTATAGAGAAACTGGAGCCCTCACACATTATTGATGGTAATGTAAAATGGTGTAGGCTAGTCTGGGTAAGTCTGACAGTTTTCTTAAAAAGTTGAACATAAATTTATCTTGTAACTTAGCAATTCCACTCCTAGGAATATATCCAAAAGTAATGAAAACTTGTCTACACAAAGGCATGTGGCGAACATTCATAGCAGCATTATTCATAATGACTTTAAACTAGAAGCAGCATAAATGTCCATCAGTTGGTGAATGGCTAAATATGTCATATCTACACAATGGGATACTATTCAGCAACATAAAGGAGCAAACTGATAACATGGTGCAACACAAATGGACCTCAAAAACATGCTCAGCGAAAGAAGCCAGATGGAACACTGCACAGTATATGATTCTATGTATCTGAAATGTCCAGAAAAGTTAAATTGAGAGACAGCGGACTAGTGGTTTCCTAGGGCCTGGTGTGGAAGACCAGATTAAGTGCAAATGAGGGGAAGGAACTTTTTTGGCTGATGGAAATGTTCTTGTGGAGAGAGACCAACTCTCTAAATTTACTAAAAATCATTGAATTGTAACTTAAAATGGATGAATTTTATATCCTGTTATTAGTAAAGCTATTTTAAAAATGTTCATCAGGGAGGGCAGGGGCATATTGTAGAGGCACTTAAGGCTTCCAACGCTCCTACCAAGGATAGTATACTAGCTTTCCTGATTTGTGGATTTAGGTTCTTAGATACATAGAGTCTTCAGAACTACCGTATGCATTGAGTCAGAGTATGCCCGGGGTGAGAAGGGTAAATGGCAAAATTATTCACAATTATATACAAAGGATTTTTTCTCTTTAATTTTTGGTTCCCATGACACTATGACAAAGGAGGCCCTCCTTTTTCCGAGGCGTCACATGAGGCTAGAGAAAACAGGTTGCAACCGGTGAGTTTGAGTTCCAGCGTGGTGTGTTTCTTGGGAAAGGACAGGAGGCCAATGTGGCTATAGGGAGGGCTGAGGCCAGATCGCGGAGATTCATCTGATCTCTGTAGGAAGGCAGTAAAGCGTGGTAAAGAGTTCAGGCTCCAGTGGCCCGTTTGCCCTAGTTCAAATCCCCGCAGTCCCACTTTCTGGCGACATGACTGAGTTGCTCAATTGCCTCTAATCTTCATCTTTACCTTGGGGAGAATAACGGCACTCGTAGTACTGTCAAGTCTAAGTGCGCCAGTGCACGTAAGGGCTTTAGAGTAAGCACATACTTAAGCGCTCAACACACACTTAAGTTAGCAAAAGAAGCGGAATGCTCGCACCCGCTCGCCGCTCGACGCCGGGGGCCTTTCTCCAGAGCCCAGCTCTCCAGGGCGCCCGGAACGCCGGCAATCACTATGGTAACGGCCACCTACTTCCGGAAGAAGTACGGCGCGCGGCGAGGGCCATTCCGAGCCCTCTGCTCCCGCGAGTTGACGGGCCGCAGAGGGGCGAATTTCGTGGGTGCCGTGGGTTCTGCCTGCCGCCGCCCGCCCCAGGCCAGCCCCGGTGCCCTCGCAGGGCCGCCCGACTCGGCAGCCTCGTTGCCGCAAGAGCCAGCTCTTCAGGCCTGGACGCCGAGGCTGAGAGGCGGTGCGGCCATGGACTTCTCCAAGTTCCTGGCGGAAGACTTCGACGTGAAGGAGTGGATCAACGCGGCCTTCAGGACCGGTTCGAAGGAGGCGGCGGCCGGGAAAGCGGACGGCCACGCGGCCACGCTGGTGATGAAGCTGCAGCTGTTCATCCAGGAGGTGAACCACGCCGTGGAGGGTAAGGCTGAGCTGCCGGGACGCGCGTGGGGCGGCGGCGGTCCGCGGCCCCCGCGGTGGGAAGGCGAGCCCGCACCGACCCTCGTCCAGACCTTTCGGGGGCAGCCGGGGGCCGGTCTCAGCTCGCTGCCGCCTGCCTAACGCTTGCCGAGGCTGGGGCTTGCTCTTCCGCCCCCGGCGGTGCCATTAAGTTTCCTTTAAGGCCCAAGAGTGAATTTCAAGAATATTAACTAATCGTTACCTGGTTCTTACATTTGGCAAAAGCGTATCAGAGGCGTGTGGGAATGACACAAGTCTGGGAAACGTTGTTTTAGCGGACCTTCATGTCTTTGAAGATGGGCTGGCCTGAATGGAGACTTGAACCATCGTTCAGGGATAGTTAATTATAAAAAATAATACACACCAGCAACCTTTTCATTAACTCCTACTCGATTTTTAGTCACGGTATGTTCACTGTATGTTCATTAGGTGCATACTGCACGGCCAGCCTCTCTGCTAGGCTCCGTGGGAGAGACGGTTCCTACAGGGAAGCTTAAGACCCAGTAAACAGAACTTTGTTTTATAGATGGGTCCAGTGTTTAAGAAAAGGCTGATGTTGGGGGGAGGGGAGCTTTATTTCACTGCAGGTTCTTTATTGATGCAGGTACTTTGCATCTAATACTCATTGAACATCTGCTACACCTGTGCCCAGAAACGGGCCATGTGCAAGAAGTTTACTTTTCAGGAGCTGCTGCCTTGTGGGGAAGATACTAAACAGTTAAATTACAATGAAGGGTGGCTTTCCTACAAGTAGGACCAGGAGTTATGAGAGCTGGAAAAAGTGTGCAGTTACCTCTAGTCTGGGAGAATCATAAAGGGTTTTCCCTGTGTTAGGCCTTGAAGGAAGACTTCATAGGGCAAAGAGGGGGGAGGACATTAATAATAATATGATAGCAATATTTGAGTCCTTGATAATGTGTCAACCATTCTTTTAAATGCCCTGTATGTATTAACTAAGTGGTTCTCAAACCAGGGGTGGTAACGTCACCTCCTTCTACCCTCACCATCCCCTGACTATCTGGAAGTTGTTGGGAGTGTTTTTAGTCCTTGCAATGGGGAGGAATGTCACAATGATGGACAGTTAGTAGAAATACTCAGCGATGCTTAGTGTCCTGCATGCTTGGGATATCCTACACAATGAAGAATTGTCCTGGCCAAAATGTTAATGTTGCCCCTTCTCAGCCGAATTATCCAATTTAAACCTGGTTATAATCCTTAGAGGTAGACACAGTTATGATGACCAATTTATAGTTGTAGAGACTGTGGCTGACTGAAGTAACCCATCGTCATATTTCTAGTTTGGATTTGAACCCATGCATTGGTCCCAGAGCTCAGGCTCTTATCCATTATACCTTGCTACCTCTCTGGTATGAAAGGGAGGAGAGAACAGAGCATACAGAGGCATGTGGGTATAAAAAGGCCTAGCCAGTCCACAGAAGAGTGAGAAGTTCAAACAGAGCTCCATCAGTAACATCAACAAACATTAGTCATTAGTATTATTATTACAGGATCACACTTTCCTGGGGGGAGGGGGAGACTTCTGGAGCTAAGACCGAAAAGTAGATTAGAATCAAACTGTGAAAGGCCTTTTTGCCCATTATTTTATTTTATTTTATTCTTTACGCACGCGTGCGCACCCAGGGACGGGAAGGCGCAGAGGGAGAGAGAATCTTAAGCAGGCCCAATCCCACACCCTGAGATCATGACCTGAGCCGAAATCAAGAGTGGGACACTTAACCGACTGAACCGCCCAGGTGTCCCCTTTTTCATTATCCTAAGGAGTTGGGCATTCGGCCCCTAGGCAGTGGGAAGCCTTCAGAGGTTTTTGTTTTTTGTTTTTCAAAGATTTTATTTATTTATTTGACAGAGAGAGAGAGAGACAGCAAGAGAGGGAACACAAGCAGAGGGAGTGGGAGAGGGAGAAGCAGGCTTCCCATTGAGCCGGGAGCCCGATGTGGGGCTTGATCCCAGGACCCTGGGATCATGACCTGAGCCGAAGGCAGATGCTTACCCGACTGAGCCACCCAGGCGCCCCGCCTTCAGAGGTTTAAAGCTTTCTTTTTATGGAAGGCGAGACAGGGCTCAAATCTGCAGTGAAGAGAGGTTATTGCAGAGGCTCTAGGAGGGGATGTTGAGGGCTCCAAATTGGGAGACTGATTTGTTCAGTCATTCAGTCAACAAGTATTTATTAGGCACAAACTGTTTTCCAGGTTCCAGAGATACAGTGTTGAACAAGACCCAGTCCTAGGTTGGGTCGGTTAACAGGCCAAGTTGGAGACAGGGGGAGAAAAACCCCCAAACAGGGACCAGATCATGCAGGGATTTTAATGTCTCATTAAAGAGTTTGGATTTGATTTAAAATGAGTGTAAAGGAAAGGTACCAAAGGATTTTTAAGCAGGGGAGGGACAGGGATTGATTCGGAAGGCAACTGTTCAGAAGAGTGGACTGTCAAAATAGTGGCTTCAGCTGGGGTTGTGGCAGTGGGCATGGTGAGAAATGGGTAGATTTAAGATATTTTTAGGAGGAAGAATGGGAAGAACTTGCTGATGGATTGGAAGGAGGGACAAGAGGAGGAGAACATCAAGAATGACTGTGGGTGGAGGTCCCAAACATACAGTAACATTGAGAGAATTGTAGTGAACATCCATATGCCCACTACCTAGATTCTACAATTAACAATTTACTATTCCTGCTTTATCACAAATCTATCCATTTACCTGTCCCTCTCTCCATTTATCCATCTTATTTTTTGATGTATGATGTATTTCAAAATGAGTTGCAGAGGTCAGTATACTTTACCCCTGCACATTTCAGTGGGTACCCTAAACATAATAGAATTCAGTACTTGTTTACAGCTCTTTTTTTTTTTTTTTACTAAATAAAATTTACATAAGGTGAAATGCACAAATCTTATCTGATGAGTGGAATGAGTTTTGACAAATGTATACAGCTGGGATAATTCAAATCTCTGTCAAGAAGGAGAATGTTACAATCACCCAAGAAAGTGCCCCCATTCCCCTTCACAGTGAAATCTGGCCCTTACCCTCCCAGAGGCAACCACTGCAAGTGATAGCTTTAAAATGGAAAAAAGAGTGGACTAAATTTGGTGCAGGGGGAGGGTTGTGGAGAAGGAAAAAGAGGTACACAGGGAACGGCAAGGGCTGAAGAGTGACTTCGAGGTTTAGCAGGCGGAAGGCTGGGGCCATAACAATGTTGTTAAAAGTCAGCATCGTTCTCTATACAGAAGAAATCCTTGTTCTATCTTTGTTTTCTTAGTCTTAGAACTTTACCCGGGGTCAGTGTTGGAAACACATTGTTATTTTATGGCTCAGCTGGACGAACAGGTTCTTGAAATATTTCTTCAAGATGTTAAGGTTCCATTCATCGCACTGGTAGAGCAGAAGACGCTGGACTTACTGGGTTGATTTTCCGATGACTTGCCCTTTAAAGGGTCAGAGGGGTATGCTAGTAATTCTCCCAATTCCACATAACATATCATAGTGTGCAAAGATGTGCAAATTGTATTCTATGTTTGGGACGTCTGTTAAAACGGTGGCTCAGTCGTTAAGCGTCTGCCTTCAGCTCCGGTCATGATCCTGGGGTCCTGGGATCGAGCCCCGCATCGGGCTCCCTGCTCCGCGGGAAGCCTGCTTCTCCCTCTCCCGCTCCCCCTGCTTGTGTTCCCTCTCTCGCTGTGTCTCTCTCTGTCAAATAAATAAAATCTTAAAAAAAAAACCAAAAAAAACCCATGCAGCTTTCTTAATGTCACCTGATCTCCTACCAGACTTGTTAAATAAGAAACTCTGGCAGGTGCTGGGGGACCTGCATTTAACTGTGCCCCAGTTGACGCTGGTCGTCTGTGGACTCTATTTTGAAAAGACCATGGAATGCAGACATTGGGGCCAGACACACGTAAGGCTTGGTTTCAGCTCTGTGAAATCTTAGGGAAGTTACTCAACCTCTCTGAGCCTCAGTTTCCTTATTTGTAAGAGGTGACTGCTAATGATTCCTGTGGACATTACGTGATAGAATGGGATGTAGCTGGCATTTACCCAGTGTCAGATTCTTTCATTTTCTCTCCTCACAAAGGGAGTTTCAATTTAACTCAGTGGTGGACAAGCATTGATGTTGGGTCAGGTTGATGGTTCCTTCCTTGTCAAATCCCATGGCCCACACCGATCAGACTGGGGAAGACATGGTCCTGGCAGAGCCCACCTCCCAGCCCACCTCTTCTCCACTCCCCATCATCCACAGGCTCAGAAAACTGTGTGGTTGGGGGTGCTTTGGGGAAAATTCCCTTCCTGTCTTCTGATCTCTTCATCTTGTTCACTGGTGACTGGTCTGATTTTCACCTTTTGTTCTTTGGTTCTTGCTACAGAAACAAGTCACCAGGCTCTTCAGAACATGCCCAAAGTGCTCCGCGATGTTGAAGCCCTGAAACAGGAGGCGTCTTTTCTGAAAGAACAAATGATTCTTGTCAAGGAGGACATTAAAAAATTTGAACAGGATACGTCTCAATCGATGCAGGTATTCATGCCCCTGTCCCTAATGCTGATTCTTGTTTTTGGAAGACATTCACAGAACCTCCCTCAAAACAGGAGCGTGCCATAATGCTTATGTTTCAAGTCACCAGTGGAGGGTAGAGATAAAGGAACTGCCACTTCCTTAGTCTTTGACCTCTCGTCTCTCTTTTAGGTATTGGTAGAAATCGACCAGGTCAAGTCCAGAATGCAGCTTGCGGCGGAGTCCCTTCAGGAAGCAGACAAGTGGAGCACACTGAGTGCTGATATCGAGGAGACCTTCAAGACTCAAGTAGGTCTTGAGTTTAGGGGATGTCCGCAGTCTGGGTAGGCAGGCGCTTGAGGTTTGGAGAAACAAATGAGAAAGTCGTTTCCTCGAACCCACAAGGGATAGGAAGAAGCCCCGCATGGAAACACACACAGGCAAAGGGTGAGAAAACCTGCAGTTGCTCAGGGTCTTTCCACCTTCTGGAGTTGGTATCTTGACTGATGGCCTTCTTGTCATAGTTCAGGAGAAACCTCAGTGAAAAAGGCAGAGAAAATGGATGAAATGAGATTGTGAAACATGGGCAGGGGCCCTTCCACATCCTGGGACCCTCTGTGGCTGCCAACTGTGGGACATAGCAATGCTTTTGACACCTGGTTATCAGGGTGAGGTCAGGTGATGTCTCATGAAAAACTCTTTTTCGGTTAAGCAAAATGAATTCTTTTATTGTCTCTTGCTAGTTTTCTTTTTTTTTTTT